CAGGGCCTGGCGAGAGTGGCAGTCCTGGCTGGGGGACAGAGCCCAGGTCTCATCTGGGAGGCAGAGATTCCCTGGGAAGATGTGGCTGTGGCAGGGGTCAGGGGCTGAACTGTGGCCTTGACTGTGAATTGAATTCGGTGACCCAAGGCTTGGGCGGATTCGGGAGGGGACACTACCAGGTGTGCCAGCGGGTTCCGGGGTCTTTGTTTGGATGGCTGTGGCTGTCTGTAGACCCAGGTATCATTCGGGCCATCTTACTACAATCGGCTTGTGGGGGGGCTGAGAGAGGGTTGGGTGTGGGACAGATGGAGGAGACAGCAGCTGGCCCTGCCGCAGGTGGACAGCAGCCAACCTTTGCAAAGGATGCTCTAGGCCAGATCCACCAGATCTACTCTTATTTCGTGGGACTGAATCCCCAGCCCTTTTTATTTTTCACTTTGGGACAGGGTCTCACTACGTGACTGGGTTGGGCTGGTACTTGTGACTCTCTTGCCTCAGCCTCCCGGAGTGCTGGGATTACAGCACAGTGCCTGGCTTCCCTTGGTTTGCTCTTAGGGTTTCCTCCCCTCCCCCCAAGATTCCGATTCCCTGCAGCCCTCGGCAGCCCTGGAATCCCTGGTTGCCCAAGCTAGCAGAAGCATTCATTCCCGCAATTTATGACAGTGACATTCACGTGAGCCTGGGAGGCTCTGTGTCCTCTGGGCCTCAGTGAAGCCAGACTCTTTTCCTATTTTGGGGCTGATTCCTCCAATTGTTGGGGGCCCCCAAATGGTCAGGATGCCTCGGTTCTTTGGCGTCCGGTCCGCGGTGCTCCGAGAGTTGCTTAGTGATGATGGGAGAGACTATGGAGGATCGGGACACCACAGTGACCGGGGAAGACCCAGGCCAGTCTACAGATGCGGGAGGGCCGCAGATAACAAAATATGTAGACATACAAAGCTCTCAGTGCCAAGCGTGGTACATGCTTTCAGGAAAGTGTTAGAGGATGTGTCCTCCCTGAGAATGGCTGTGCCCAGTCCCCCAATTCTGCATCGGCCTCCTCAGGTAGTGAAACGGAGGCTCCCTGGACTCACACAGTACAGCCAGCCCATCGAGAGCTCTGTCCCCAGCGGGAGCTACACCCCGACCTTTCCTTTGACCTTAGCTGCCCAGCCTGACCCTGTGTCCCAGCTGTGGCCGTGGGCCAAGTTACTGCCCCCCTGGCACCGAGGCAGACACTGCTGTCCTGACCTGGCTGGGGGCCCTGGCAATCCCACAGGGATTCTCCCTAGGGTGGGGCAGGAATGGACCCTGTGCTCTGCCAAGGGTGTGCGGGGGCCAGACGGTGTGACCTTGGCCAGGTCCTGACCCTGTCATGGCTCAGCCACTCTGCTCTAAATCAAAGGGTCATTGTCTGGCTGGTGTGGGCTCTGGGCCTCTCCTGCCAGCTCTAGGCTCAATGCTGGTCCCCACCCCAGAGGCCAAGTCTTGGGGAACCTCAAGTAAATGACCGACCCCTTTCCAGGGGTCCCCACTTCCCAAGACCCCAGGGAGAGCCCTGGCTTTTTTCTGCCAGTCACTTCCTGCTCTAGCTCTGGGAGACCCGCCCAGCTCAAACACCTACCATGGCTCCCTGTGGCCTCTGCTGACCTCACTGCCTTTTTGCTCCAGGCCCAGACAGGCAGAGAGATAGTGACTTCCGGGAAGATACTCGAAGAAGCTGGAACACCCCCAGGCTGTTCCTGAGTAGCCTGGGGAAGTTGAGGAAGGCTCAAAAGCACATTAAAACTGAGACTTGAATGCTAGGCATGATGGTACACACCTGTCATCCTACCACTCAGGAGGCTGAAGCAAGAGGATCACCGACAGTTCAAGACCAGCCTGGGCTAATAGTTCAGGCCAACCTGAACTACATAGCAAAACTCTATCTCAAAACAAAAATAAAAAACCGAAGTACTTTTACTAAAAAACAAACAAAACCCCCAAAGAACAAATAATCAAAGAACAACACTGAGACTTGAGCACCTCATGCGGTGGTGTGTACCTGTCATCCCAGCATTCTGGGAGGCTGAGGCAGGAGGATCAAAAGTTTGAGCTCAACCTGGATAACTCAGTGATTTAGACCCTGTCTCAAAATAAAAATTTTTTAAAGGTCTGGGGGTGTAGTTTAGAGTAAATGCCCTGGGTTCCATCCCCAGTACTGCAGGGGGAAAAAGAGAGAAAGAGACCCCCTTCCTTTGGGTTGGGGTGCAGGGACAGAAGTCTTGGTGGCCACTGCTGGCCATGATGTGGGAGGGAGAGGCCTCTCGCCAAGGAATGTGGGTGGCCTCATACAGCTGAGAAAGGTGCGGAATGGATTCTCCCTTCCAGCTTCCAGCAGAATGCAGCTATGCCAGTACCTTGAGTTTCAACCAAAGTGACCCCTGTGGGCCCCTGACCTGTGCAAGTGTGAGGGAAGTGGGGGAAGAAAAGACTTGTGCTGTGTTAAGCCACCCAGTTTGCAGCAATTTGGGACAGTGGGGTTGGGCCTCTCACACAGCAGGCCCTGCGGCCCCTCGCTGCCTCCACGTTCCTGTCTGCGAGGTGGGTGCAGTCCCAGTCGGATGCTGAGGACGGTGCCCAACACACAGAGAGGCAGGGCGCACACACGGGTAGGCTGTCTGTCCAGCGTGGGGTCTGGCACTTCCTGGCCATGGTGGGACGAAGCAGGAGTCCCCGTTAGAGGGAATCATTGGTGCTGAATGGGTGAATGGGAGCAACTTTTTCTAGGAGTCATAAAGCGGCACAAAAAAAGCAGGTGTGGTGGTGCACGCCTATCATCCCAGCACTCAGGAGGCTGAGGAAGGAGGATTGCCTCAAGTTCAAGGCCAGCCTGCACTATATAGGGAGACCCTGTCTCAAAAATAAAGAAAGAAACTGAGTTTCCATCCCTAGGAGCCGACAAAACCACTCTTCCAATGAGCCAGTAGCATTTCATTCAGTCGGATCCTGGAGGACACAGAGCAGCTGTTTCTCCCAGGGTCTTGTGCTGATCATCCACATTCTACAGCCTTGATGAGATTACCCTGGCCTCTAGGATGTGGCTGCAGCCAGTGCCTAGGGTCCCACATTTTTGAGCCAGATGATGCTTGGGCCTGAACCCACTCCTGCAGAATGACAGCAGCCCCTGGGGCTGTGCTGGTTCCCCGAGAGGCGGCTAAGGTAGACCTGAGGACTTGGCCATGGTGGCTAGTGCAGGAGTGTTTTTTTTGTTTTTGTTTTGTTGTTTTGGGGTGTGTTTTTTTTGTTTTTGTTTTTGTTTTTTTTGAGACAGGGTCTCACTATGTAGTTGAGACTGACCTGGAACTCACTATGTAGCCCAGACCGGTCTCCACAGCAATCCTCCTGCCTCAGCCTCCCGAGTGCTGGGATTACAGGCGTGAGCCACCACGCCTGGCCATTTTTTTTTTTTGGTTTTTTGAGGCAGGGTCTCACTTTATAGTCCAGGCTGGCCCTGAACTCATTATGTAGCTCAGGCTGGCCTAAAGTTTAGACAATCCTCCTGCCTCTGCCTCCCAAGGGCTGGGATTACAGGTGTGAGCTACCACGCTCAGCTTTGGTGCAGGAGTTTTAAAGACAGCCCGGCCTTCCCATGTTCCCAGCAGATTCCCCTTAGAGTACTGTTGGCCTACGCTTGAGATCCCACCTGCTGGGCCTGCTCAGTCCAGGGCCTCCCCATATCAACTCTTCCACACTGGATTCCAACTTCCTGCCTCACCTCTCTGGCTGCTCCCCACCCCTGCCCCAACAAGGGACTCCATTTTTTGTGGGAATTGGGGCCAAATTAGTTACAAGAGGCAGAGCCAGGCTTCAGCCAAGGAGGTGAGTCCTGATTGGTCAAAGTGATGATTCCAGCAGGTCACAGGGGTGAGTCCTGATTGGCCACAGAGTGGAGTACTGATTAGCCATAGTGCTGAGTCCCCAGATTGGCTAGAGAGCTGAGTTTTGATTGGCCAAAGTGGGTCATAGTGCCAGTCTATCTATCCTCATTGGTGGAGGACAGCCATGTGACATGGCTTTGGCCAGTGTCAGGAAGGATGGTCTAAGAGGTGGGTGGGACTCCCAGACAGCCCTGTGTCTACCTGATCCATCAGAGATGCCCTTGTGGGTTTTCTGTTTCTTCTCTAAGTAAATGAAAATAGCTCAAATCTGTTACCTTACAGGGATCAGAAGTAGGACATAGGTCTTGGGCTAATTTTTTCTCATTACTGGATATTGAACTCAGGGCCTTTGCATGGAAATGTACCCCTCCCCCTTTATGAAGACAGGGTCTTAACTGTGCTTGCTTTGGCGGCACATATAAAAAATATAGCATCTTGTTTAGTTGCCTAGGCTGAACTAGAACTTCTATCCTCCTGTCTCAGCCTCCCAGAGTGCTGGGGTAATAGGTGTGAACCCCCACACCTGGCTTCCTGTGTCAGGTACTTTTCTCTTTGCTGAGACAAATTACTGGACACCCAGAGTTAAAGGGGCAAAAGTTTATTTGGCTTACAGTTCGTAGAGGTTTCAGTCCATAATCGTCTGGCTCCAAGGCATGATTGGTGGCAGATGTGACAGAAACAGTTCATGGCGACAGAAGCAGCAAAGCAACAAGAGGGCCGGGGATTTGGCTCAGCGGTGCCGCTGCCTGCCTCGCAAGTGCAAGGTCCCAAGTTTGATCCCAGGTACCAAAACAAAAACAAAAAGCAGGGGACCTTAACAGTTTTTCTGCCCCTTTTAGCTCATTCAGACTATTTAGGGTGGGCAGCACTCACGCCCTTAACCCTAGTGCCCGGGGCCTAACCCCATCGTGAGTCAGTCGCACTTGGTAGACTCAGGCACCTCTGAGTAAACACAACCGCAACCCTGGGCTCATCTGGGGCCTTAACGCCCCATCCGAGCTCCAACCGTTACAAAGGGCTGCTCTCCCAAGACCTCCATCTTGCAGGGCCTGAGGTACAAGGCCGGTGTCCCTCTAGCCAGCCCTGTTTGCCCAGTGAGGCCCCAGGGCTTAGTCTCCCTCGGGATGTGGGCACAGGCTGTCATTAGACCCCTCTTGCCTCCTTACCCCCTAACTGTCCCGAACTTATACCAGGACAGCGGCACAGAGACAGCCCTTGGCTAGGTCTGAAGTTTCCTTCACTGGCACAGCACTGTGGACGGAAGAGTCGTGAGGGCTCGGTCACGCCAAGCCCACTGCCGGCTCGAGGTCAAGGCCGAGGACTGTCCTTGGCAAGGAGCATCAGGGCGACCTCGAAGTCACCGGGCAGAGTGTGTGGGGTGGGCACTGCTGATTCCCCTTGACAGAAGTGCCTTCACTTCAGATCACTGCACAGAGAACAGAGAAGGCAAAACAGACAGCAGGGGCATACGTGTGCTTCACGGGGGCCTTTGTGCTCTTCCTGAACCTTCTGTTTGCTTGGTTTTGTAAGGCAGCGTCTTTCTATGTAACCCAGACTGGCACTGAACTTGCGGCTGTCCTCCTGCCTCAGCCTCCTGAGTGCTCGGATGACAGGCGTGCGCAGCCACACCTAGCTTGAAGCCCCTTTCTGTAGGAGTTTATCACTATTTGAAAAACTGGTCAACGCTCAGGAGGCTGAGGCAGGAGGATCGCTGTGAGTTCCAGACCAGCCTGGGCTACATAGTGAGTTCCAGGGCAGTCTCAACTACGTAGTGAGAGCCTGTCTCAAAAAAAAAAAAATCAAAAAAAGAAAAAAAACTGGACTGGGGATTTAGCTCAGTGGTGCCACCGCGTGCCTCACAAGTGCAGGGTCCTGAGTTGGATTCCTGGTACTAAAAAAAAAAAAAAGAAAGAAAAGAAAAACTGGCTGATGGAAAAAAAAATGAGCAAATGTCACTTGCAAAATCACAAAATTATCAAACATCACCAACAAAGTTACGAAAAGAAATCAAACCACAACCCTCCTCTCCCCTGAAATACATGTACAAGGGTAAGGGTAGCAAAAAAGAAACCCCACAAACCGAAAAATATCCACAACAAAGAAAAACCCTGTAAATGAAAAGACAGAGCTAAAAATGTACAAGCCAAAAATATAAATGAAAAGGGAAAACAGATTTACAAAACAAGTAAACTGTCCAAATATGAGTGAAAAGCACTCAAATGCTGTGGCACCACCCTCACCAGCAGGCACACTCCGGGCAAAAGCAGTGCCTACCTGCATGCCTCAGTCTCTCCTCCCTTCCAGTGTAGGCCTGGAATGGCTTTCTCCACATCTGAACACAGAGCTTCTTACCAGCTCCTGGGCGGGGTCACAGCCATTTCGTTTTGTTTTTGTCCTTTGAGACAGGGTCTCACTATGTGGTCCAGGCTAACCTTGAACTCCTGGCAATCCTCCTGCCTCAGCTTCACGGAGCTTTGCAGAGGGTGAAAGTTTAGGCCTGGCACACACCAGGCCCTCGGGGTTTTTTTGTTTCTTTCTTTATGTTCTTGTTTTTTTTTTTCTAGGACTGGGGACGGAACTCGGCCTTCACACTGAGCTGTCTCCAGCCGTTTTCAGGTTTGAGTTTGAATCAAGGTCTTACTATTTTGTCACATTTCCCAGGCTGGGCTCGAACTTGCAGTCCACCTACCTGAGCTTCCCAAGGGCTGGGATGACAGGTGTGCGTCACCACACCCGCCTGGCCCCGTTGTATAACACTGTTGATCCCACTGCTCCCCCAGCAGATCTGCCCAGGCCTGCACAACAGACATACACACCAGTTGCTCATTTGTTCCAGAATCTCATACTCGCTGTGTGCTTGGAGGGATGCCACGGCTCACGTCAGGGTTTTGGGGATAGTTATGGAGGAGAGGGGAAACTATTCCCCCATCTTCCCCAGTCAGATGCAACCTAAAAGCCCCAGGGGCAGGCTCTGCAACCTGCACAGAGAGGTTAAGCAACTTCCCTGAGATCACAGCCCACAGTCGATGGCTTGGTGGGACCTTAACCCAGGCTTGCTGCAAGATCTTTTAACAGCCACCCTGGGCTCCCACGTGGGTGGCGCTTCAAAAATCTCAGTCTAACGAACACTGATGTGAAGAGGCTGAGGCAGGAGGATCCTCCAGAGTTCACCTGGACTGGGCATAGAAGGTGTGGTTGTACCCTCCAGTTTTGGGCCTAGAGAGGCCACTGGATTCCCAATCATGATGTCAGAGCGCCCTCTGGTGGCTATGGCGGGAATGGATTGAAATCACCTCCTAGACGTGTGGCGTAAAGCGTTCACTTTAGGCAACTGTCAAACTCAACGCCCCCTTCTGCAGAAAGCCCAACCAACTCCTATTAATTTTCCAAAGGCCTAGTTCCAATGCACTCTCTACCCCAGGAAGCCCTCCTTGTCTCCCCAGGCAGAGTTGGGGTCACCATAGGGTCCCCAACTTCATGGGGACCCAGAGTGTTAGTGTGCACGTAGGGTCTGGTGTGAGCAGTGCTCAGTGGATGTTTGTTGACTGAATAAAGAAACGTATAATGAGGCTGGAACTAACCTCAGAGTCGATCCTGGCCCTCGCTGGGAGATGGAGCAACTTTTGCAGCTAATTCTGGAAAATGAAAGGATTTGGGTTCCTGCTCCCTCTGCACCCAGAGGTGCTGCACAGTGAGCCCCGAGACCAGCAACAGGTTAGGTTGTAAGGGAATTTATGGGACGCAGCTGGCGCCAGGCACTGTTAGGCACAGAAATCGAACAAAAGTCTCTTCATTAGGTGGAAAGAGCTGACTTGAAAGACAGGTGGAAGAAAGATGTTCGGGAATATGGGGGATGGTGCAGGGCACAGCCAGCGCAAACGGCCAGGGGCGAGAGTCCTAGGAAAGCAGGGACAGTAAGGGTCAGCGAGGGAGAAACTGGCAGTTGAGGAAGTAGAGCGAAAAATGGAGGGTCTTCGTGGGTTTGGGGAAAAAAGGAGGGGCTCACGTAGGCCCCGCCCTTTGGCCCCGCGCAGCCTCCAAGATGGCTCCGCCCCCGCATCGGATCCTGGTTGCCAAGGAGACTTGGCCCCGCCCACCTCAAGCCTCCTCCTCCTCCTCCTCCTCCTCCTCCGGGGTCCCCCTGTTGGGTGGCTCTGCTCACTCCACAGCAAGGACCTCAGAAAAGAGATCCTGTGCACAGACAAGACCACCCGAGGCTGGCCCAATGTGACTTTCTGTCTTGGTGGGTATTGCCGAGGAGATTTGACCCCGCCCTTCGGTTTATTCTGCAGCCTCCAAGCATGGCTCCACCCCCGTACTGGATCCCAGTTGCTAAGGAGCCTCGGCCCCGCCCCTCCAGAATCCTCTCCACATCTCCCCAGGCCTACCTCTGCCCTTTGCCCGGCCCGTAGTTTGAGTCCTTGCCTCACTTGTCCCTCGGCGGCCACCGTCGCCTATTCCGCAGCCGGAGGAGCGTGCAGTCCGCGCCGTTCGCGCGTTCCCGTCCCACGCTGTGCGTGCCTGCGTGACGTGCGTGCCATCTGCCCTGCCCGGCCCGTAGTTTGAGTCCTTGCCTCACTTGTCCCTCGGCGGCCACCGTCGCCTATTCCGCAGCCGGAGGAGCGTGCAGTCCGCGCCGTTCGCGCGTTCCCGTCCCACGCTGTGCGTGCCTGCGTGTGGTGC